GTAAAATGAAATATGATGTATCATTTGAAGTTGTTGATATTCTTAAATGAAATTCAGTAACTTTGGTAGTTTTTGGGTATTGCGTAACTGACTTTGTATATTACGTGACTGGCTTTGGACATTGCTTGATTTATTTTTAAGGATTAGATTACTAGTTGATAGGTATTGTGTGACTTGTTAGTAAGTCATTACGTGACTAATTAGTAAGGCATTGTGTAACTTATACATTGCTTAAAAGTCAATCACGTAATGCCTAAAAACTAATCACGTAATGTTTATAACCAATCATATAATACTTAAAAACCAATCACGCAATGCTTATAACCAATCATATAATACTTAAAAACCAATCACGCAGTAGTTAAGTCACGCAATACTTAAAAATCAGTCTCGTAATATTTAAAATATATTTTAATCAATTTCAACTCCTCAACTTTAAAGTTATATGGTTCTATGAATAAACTAATAAACTCAAAAACCTAAAACACAGTTTTTTTTTTGCTAAGCCATGAAATTGTGCATTTCATAAAAAATAGGTTATAAAACTTCATAATCCTCTAAAGCAAGACAAAATATATCTTTATCAGGAGGGCTTTGCTCACTTCTCTTATACAAAAGCAAAATATACTCCATTTACAAAATATTCTTTGAATAATTTCAATTCAAAATCTCCAATAAACATACTTAACAATCATCTCAATCTTGGACACAATAAAATCGTAAACCACCATAAAACCCATCAAACGTGCTTTAGTTGTCCTTTCTCCTTGAGCCCTTGAAAACATTACCAGAAAGCATCCAGTTATCATATTCATCATGTTACCTGTAATCACCATAAAAGAACAAAATCACTATTTATTATTTTTAAAAACCCCAAGATCCACCATAAAAAAAAATAAAAAAAGCTTAGCGAGATAGACAATATTTGAGCAGAGAATGAAATCGAGATTTAATTTTAAAATTTTTGTTTGAAAGGCGAGATAGAGAAAACTGAAATTATTTTAATTATTTAAAATTGTTTAAAAGATATTGTTGTTAAGTCATATTAAAATTTGATTAAAAATAATTAAAATTATAAAAAAATATTTTTAAATTGTGTTTATGAAAAAAGTTATTTTTCTCAATTTTTTCAATTGGTAATACAAAAATTGAAATTGTAGCGCAATTCAAGGACTTATCGGTACTTTGCTCCTAAGAATCCTTATTCTACTAGTACCTTAAAACCCTAAGCAGACTCGACCAGCTGCTACCTTAGGGTTTATGAGAACCCTCTCCCCAACAGAGCCCCGTTTTTCATACAGCTATGACATTTTACTTCTTTCTCTCTTCCACTACTGATCCATTCTCCGCAACCTTACATAATTTTACCTCTGGAGATGGTAGGCTTTGTCCCTGAACCTTCCACTGGAGAAGGCCCAAATCAAGTTTCAAAACTCAAAATCAACAAAGACCCTATTGACTTTCTTGACCCCAAAACCCACGATTTATCCTTTGCCGATTCCTTTCTTGATTTTGACTCTATAAAAGAGTGGTTTGAAGATAACCCAAATTTAGATAGGACTGGTTCAGAAGAGATTGACTTTGGGGATATTGAGAAGAGGATGGAGATTGTTAAAGAAGATAACGTTGGGAAATCCCATGTTAGTGGGTCTGAGCCTAATGTTGATGGATTAAAGCCAGTTGATAGTGGGTCTGAGCTAGTCGGAGGTGAGTCAGGTCGTACAGTGAAGGTGGAAGAAGAGGAGTTAAAACCAGAAGGGAAGTTGAGTTCTTCTATTGAGGAAGAGATGGGGAAGGTTAGTTTGGTTGGTAAATTAGAGAGTGGGAGTAGTGGTTCAGAGGAGTCTGAGAGTGAAAGTTCATCGTCGTCGTCATCTTCTAGTAGTAGCAGTAATGATGATGATGATGATGAGGAGAATAAAGAAAATGTGAAGGTGGAGATAAAAAGAGAGGTGGATGGGGTAGGTGAGCTTGAAGAGGGTGAGATAGGAGGTATTGATCGAGAAATGGCTGTTGGTGGAACTGATAATCTTGATGATGAGGAGGAGGAGGAGGAGCAAACAGAGGAAATCCTCAGTGGGTTTGGTATTGAATTTGATGAGGTAGATGATGAGGATGCTGATGCTGGTGCTATGAGAGGACCTATCAGGTCAAAGAATGAACTTGAGGTAACAAATAGTGGCTTTGATGATATTTTTTTCAGAAGTACTTTTTGTTTTTCACCACATTCTTTAATGTTTCAGCAAAGCAAATTTCTAGGTTTTGCATCTCACTAACATGTTAATCTAGGTTTTGCTGGTGGGATTTCTTCCCTGTTTGTTCTGTTTTATGTTTGTTTTTTTGGAAAGGCTGTTCTGTTTTATGCTTGTTAGCTGCAAGTCATGCATTTGTCTTCGCTGTTCTTTGGATTAATCTATAATGAGATATTAATTATTCTGTAGTCTCATTTTCTTTTCAGATCATTTCCTTTTATATTTTTCTGATTGATCTTTTTGTTGCTGAAAGATCTTTTTGCATGCTTTGGCTGAAACTTATTGATTTTTTGCTCTGCCAAGAAAGCAGATTAAGTTGAACATACAAAACCATGTCATATCACTTCAAATTTAACGGGGTTAGCAATTAGTAACTCTTTGCACTCATTCATTTTCTTGTGGTAATTTTACATTTGGCCTTGTTTAACATTGGGGCCTTATGTTGATAACTTTGGTTGTAATCTTTAACTCATCAAAACTGAACAAAATAGTTTTCCTGTGGTATCACCATCGAATGTATTCTCTTTGATTAGGAAGGTAATGAAGTATGGCATTCTGATCCTTGCATGACAGAGATCAGGCATTTCAACATCATACTCTAATCCTTGCTTGTTGACTATTCAGAAGTCTAGATGAGACATATCTTGCATGCTTTCTGTAGTCCTGAACAACGTGACTAAAATATTTATCACTGTCGTTAAATTTCCTGTGTGGTTTAATGCTGGAGTTATTGTTGTTGAATATTAATTCTGAATAAACTCTGTTAAATTGGGCAGGTTCTCCCTCCAGTTCCACCACTGGAGGTCACACTGCAACCCCATCACAAGATGCTGCCTGTTGGAGTTGTTTTGTCGGTAAGCTCATAGAAAGCTCAAGTCAGAACCGGTATTGCAAAATACAAAGGCCATGCCTTAAAGTTTTTCTCAAATTTTGTTAAACACTCATAAACCCCTGTTTTGGGAGCTTTGGTCTAGATTGACTTACAGTTGCAAATAATACTACTTGGGTCAGTCTAATGATGTTACTTACACTGTTGCAGATTATTGGTACCAAAGTTATTGTTGAAGGAAGAGAGCAGCACAACCCTCTGAATGAAGGTTCTATTCTTTGGATAACCATAAACAGGTCACCACTGGGGTTGGTGGATGAAATCTTTGGACCTGTAATAAACCCCTTCTATGTTGTACGATATAATTTGGAAAGTGAAGTCCCTGCTGGGATCCACGAAGGCACTTCTATCTCTTTTGTCCCAGAATTTGCTAATCATGTTCTCAATGACAAGAATCTTCACAAGAAAGGGTACGATGCATCTGGTGAGAATGACGAGGAGTTGTCAGATGATGCTGAGTTTTCAGATGATGAAAAAGAGGCTGAGTACAAGAGGATGCAGAAAATGACAAAGAGAGGCATGAATGACCAGAGAGTGGGAAACCTGAAAAGCAATAAAAGGAAAGTTAAAAGTCGGGATGGAGCTTGGAAAAATGGTAGAAATTCAGCCCAGCAGACATCAACACCTGTGGGTCAGCTTCCAACTAATCAGAACCAACATAAATTTTCCTCAATTTCAGCATCTTTGGATAATCATAATTGTTCATCCTCTGTCATAGAAAAACAAAATTTTGTTGGTGGATCTGGCTTTGTTTCACCATTTTCAGTCATGCCACAGTCTTGTGGTTTCATTACACCTTCAAATGGAGTTTGGACTAATGGGATGCCGGGCCAGCAGCCACAAAATGCTATTTTTCCCAACAGGTTTCCTGCAGAAGGTATGCCTTTGCTCTCACAGAATTATCAACAGCAGCCTAATCCTTTGCCAACCTCAGGAATGCCTATGCCACCCATGATGCCATATCAGCAGCAGCAGTTTGATCCTAGTTTGAGTACACTTCCAAATGTGGTCTTACCTGGTGGCCAGGCAAATTTATTTGCTGGACCAGCCTGTGCACCTTGGCTGGGGATGCAGGTCAAAATGGCTTTAGCCAAATCACATTTGGGGTTGGCATGCAGGGCCAGCAACTCCTAAGTGCAGTGCAAGGTATGTTGGCAAATGGACCAATGGCAGATGGGAACTGTAATTTACAACAATTTGTTCCAGGGAACTTTGAAACATCCCAGAATTTTAACATGGGTGCATCGTCTAGTCGTGGGAAAAAACCTTATCATAGAGGTCGTGGTCGTTTTACTGGCGGAAGAGATCGTTAATGAGATTGAGTGGGAGACGTTGGCCCTAGAGATTTGCTTGAATTTTGGTGTAATTTGTTGTTGAATGTTTTGTTATTTAAGTTGAGGCGATGTAAGGTAACGAGCATTGCGTGTTTGTGATGATTAATGATCAGGCTCTTTCAAGTATCAACGCAGGGCGGAAAATGCTGTGCCCCAAAAGAGAAAATATTGGACCTTGGGCTTGGAAGTTACTATGTCTTACCTATCAGGTGCAATCACCAGGGCACCCGGGGGAATGGGATCTTTGGCCGAATTGCTAGGCTTTAAAGTTTTAAAATGTATCATCCATCATTGCACAGCAAACCAAGCTGCCAGGCGCCCTTCTCTAGGCATCTGTCTTTCGACAAAATAGGCGGATGCAATACTCTTCCTTTCTGTTGTCTTTTTCTTTTCCAACAAACAAATGAAAGAAAAAATCTCTGAAATGTCGGATTACGGTCCAGCGTATATATTGAATCTATGTCGAGTTACTATATTTTAATACTGCGATGAAAGAGACACAGTAGCAGAGCATAAAAATGGGAATACTGACCAAACATCATCGTGGTGATCAAATTTTAATTAATTTTAAGTTTTTAAACCAGTCAAATGAGCACCGTGAATGCTGAACTCAGGGACTGGCGGCAATTTAAGTCTAACATGAAAGTGAATTGTCTTCCAAGGCTTCTTCTGTCGGGGATGGGCTCAACTAAAGCAACAAATAAAGAAACCCACCCAAAATGCACTGCACTGAAGACTCAAGCTTTCGCGTTCCTAGTGAAGTCAATGCAAGTTTGGCAACTGCAATCAGAGAACCGACAGATTTCACACCCAAAGCACACACAGGAGGTGCAACCCTTGCATGTTGGAGACCGGGTGCAGCCCCTGTATACCCTGCGGCTTGCTCGCTCTTCATCATCATCACATGTTATTCTGAAATACAGAAAACAATATAAGTATGAGCTAAAAAGCATGTTGCCAACTTGCCATACGTATAGCAGATTATGAAGATATTCTACATTTGCAAGCAAGCAAAGCGTGCATATCATCACTTATAACCACTTAAAAGAATCATTTAGGCTTAAATTTCTGAGCCAAAGGTTTAACACGTTCATGTCAAATCCTGATTTAACAACATCAAGAAAGTCCTCTCGCAGCATTTGCTTTCATACCATATAACTAACAATAGCATTTCTTGCCATTAGCTTTCATACCATAACTACTAAAAGCAATTCTACAAATCTGCACATCATGGAATTAAAATGAACAACTGTATACACTGTCAGAACTCTGTGCCCCTCCCCACTCAAATCCAAAAAAGAAAAGATGAACACACCTCAAAACAGAGCTGGAACATTTCAACTTCACCAGCCAATTCATAGCAAAGACTGCATATTCTGGTAGATTATGATTTTCATTAACTTGCCAACTAAAAGCATTTTCGGCACAAAAAGTTCAGAGTAAGCAAAGCACCAACAATCAAACAGACAGGAAAGCAAGAACGGTAGGACTTAACAGCATGTAAGGAAAACATAGCTATTTCTTATAGACCTATTGCTTCTACTCACACAGGTGAGTAAAACATATTTTGGAGTCAAAAGTTTATGCAAGATACCCAAGTGAGAAACCTGGCAGCTTTTTTAAGATACTAGTACCACTGAAGAAAATCTTACATATCATGAAAAGTTTGGAACTGCTCGAACATCGGACATCTAGAACCCTTCTTTGAGCAAGACCTATCTATCTCACAATCCAACTATTATTAACTTCGAAAAATAACCTGTCACCTTTTCACATGATGGAGTAATGCCACAAATAGTAAAGTGTTTGACCATAATCTGAAGGGAACTCAATCAAGTCCAATTCATTTCTTTTAAGCTCCTTATCTGGTGGTTCTAATACAAGCGTACAGGCACACCATTAACGGGTTCCAATAGATGAAACAGTAAAATATGATACATCTCATTATGGCATCCACCTTTGCACAAAGCCAGGGGATTAAATGAAGCATAGTTGTCAAATTACCTAGAAGAAGTATAATCAGGAAATGCTGCAGTTTGGCCAAGACTATATTTCATGTGCAGTACCAGGTTCTTCACCAAAAATTACTTATGTTTCTCAGCATTCAGTCAACAGATTTTAAGTGAATATCAACTGGGTATTGGTGCTTACTACATAGCAAAGAATATTGATAATTTTCAGAAGCTGTAATCATATAGATATCTATGGCTGTTAAAGATGCTATCCATTTCAACTAAATGCTATTAAGCAGAAGAAACAACTCCATATGAACAGGCCAAAATCATACAGATACACAAGAAATAGGTTCAGCGAATAGAAGTTCAAAAGGAGTTAACATGAAAAGAATGAATTTGATCATTAGTTTCCTCTAGCCATATATGGAGCTATAGCCCATGAAAAGGTTTCATGATAAAGAAGTAACCGGAACAACAGATCATGGAGGATTATTTTCAAATTTGAAAAGTTATATTTCAATATATATCAGGGTTGGAGATCAAGAAGTTTTTTTCTACCTCATGCATTATCTGCAAATTACATTTTAATTTTCAAGAAATGGATTTTTAAGGGAAAAAAAATAATTAAGTCCAAAAGCATGTTCTACAATGACTAATACCTTAATATGTAATAGGAAACAGTCTTGGACATGACATACCCAAAATTTAACAAATAAGAACATAATCAATATTGGGGGGACAAACCTGTCATATTGAAGATCAGAACATTTCCAGTTCACATCTGCTAAAGCATCATGGTGAATCCGACATTCCTCTTTCGTCCGCAATCGAAATCTTCGCTCCTTGTTACACCTGCTACAGCGAACAAACTCATCACGATGACAAACTCGTCCACTATGGGATCTGTGAGCACCATTGGCATTTTTGGATGCTTGGTTGTAGTATTTCAGCAATGCAGTCTTTGATAATGAAACCTTCTCCCCATTAACTATCACCCAAACATTATTTTTCCATTTTCTAGCTGTCTCTCTCCCGGAATGCTTCTCAAATGCAGCAGGAGTCAACTTGTCTAGTCATTGAAATTACCATCACACGATTAGAAAATTAGAAAAAGGAATAAGAAAGAAAGCTTTGACAATTGTTAGGAAAATAAAGAGGAACTGGGTTGATCAGAACAAGGGAAAATGAGATTATTCTGTGCACCTGACACTGGAAGGCTCCAGTAAACGGTAAAGGCAGAGATAAAGAGTACAGACAGCTTAAGCCAGTTTAAGTTATATTTAGTAGTAAGACCCTGACTATATAGACCCGCCACCAAACCGGGGTGTTCTTTTCACAAGCCCCAAAATGATCAACAGCATAAAGAAAATATTCACCTGACTTTCGGCTCAAAGTTGGGGTGGATTCACAAGATGATGGTTTACCTTCAAGGTTTGGAGTGTATGACCATTTTTTCTTTTCATTTGACATGGGTATTCTTTCTTATGAACAAGACACAGCCTCCTTACAGGCATAAGATTCCTTCACATGCAGACATATTCGTAATGCAATGCAATGCAATCTACTCCCAACTAAGCATCCTTTGGATGAGAAATATACGTAACATTTAATCAATGATCAAACTGCAAAAGTTAACAAATGATAAAGCTTTCTGCCAAACTTGATTTCCTCAATATCACTATTTCAATGATAAATAAAATTTGACGCAGTATTTCCACTTCGTAGGTGTGCGCTAAAGTTTTAAAATAATAGAATACCAGCTCGTAGATGTACTGTTTAAACCTCCAAGCCATATTCGTACTACTTTCACATAGTAGCATTGTACACAAAAACACATGCACACAAAAAGAAGACGTTCATCTCCTGGAAACATAGCTGTCCTCATAACACCAAGCATCAATATGCTCAAAAGCATCCCTCACCAGCCAAACTTTACAATGACATTGCATCAGAACAGAAAGAACTAGAAACATACGCAGAACCCATAAGGCTAAAATGTTTCTTCAAAAAACATTACTCTGTCCAGCGACAAGAAACAGAACTGAAGCTTTGAAAACCCAGATTCTGAAAGACTCAATCGAAGACCTTAGAATCACAACCATAAAAGATAATGCAGGTGTTAATTCTGAAGATACAAACTAAGATATAAGATCTTTAACCAACAAAGAGACTCATGGAGCGTCCAAAAAAATGAATGAACATCACCTTGTTGTGCCAAAACCAAAGAAAGCCAAGTCACTGGGACAAAAAAACATACACATAAACTGTGTGAAAAGAAAACCAAAACGAAAGGCATCACAAGCTTCCCCATCATCCACTTCTCACACCATCCAAAACTCGATTAAATAAGAGAAAGCGACACCCATCAACGTCAAATGCACCATAACTTGAATAAAGCACGCATTAAACATGCACAAAAATCTAAACCCCAACAGCATCAAAAGAAAAAGAAAAGGATGGAGAAAAAAAGAACCAAAGGATGAAAAAAGGACTAAAAAGAGAGAGACCTTCATTGCAACCAGGGGTGCATTCACAGGTGATTTCAAGGTCACCATTAGAGAAAACCCTAAGTTTGCCAACAGCATCACCATATCTATGGCTGGTACACCCACATGTCACTTCTATAAAATCTCCTCCTTTCTTCAATCCGCTTACCTCTCTCAACTCCTCTTCGCTAAACATCATCGACCCACTTTCCCTCTCTACCCCATTCTCCATTTTCTCTCGCTAACAGACCCCCTAGACGCCCACACACTCTCTCTCCGCCTTATTAGGTTTCCTCTAAAAAGAGAACCCAGAAACCCCCAGGAAGAGAAAAATCGAATCAAGGAGAGATAAGAAGCATATGGGTAATGTTAAAAAGAGATTGTTGTTGCCTGAGGAGATTTTATAAGAGGTCTAGACCAAAGAGAGGGCTCAAAAAGCACGCATATTTATGGGGGTTACTCCCGGAGATCTGGTGGAGAAAACGTTGTGAGAGAAGAGAGAGAAAGAGAGAGAGGGGTTGGTGCTGGCGTTGTGTTTTTGGGGATGTTAATGAGCTGGCGAAGAGAAACAAATGTCGTGGGGTGAGGGGGAGTGAGAGGGGTTAAAAGCTTAGGTGCTAGTTGCATGACATGACATGAGAGAGAGACTCTTTGGCTTTGGGGTCAGGGCCTTTTGGTTTATGGGAAAATCCCTCTCATGGGAAGGAGACCAGGTTTATTGAAATTAGTGTTGGGGACTTAATATTTATTTGCTTTTCTTCCTCTTTTTTTCTCCAACGCAATGCTCTCTGCCCATTTGGCTGTTTAGGTGGTCGATGCACTATTTTTCATTCAGAGAACCTTTACAATGTCACTGTGCTCGCAGTGAATTTCAGCATTGTGTCATACTAACTTACTATCCAGTCTAGCAGTATACTAGTAAAAGGGTCAAACACATCTGTATCCAGAACCCTAGGTGCCACGGGAGTGGCAAAACTCAGCTTAGGTCCTGCTTCTAAACTGGAAGTCAAGGGTCTTTGATTCCTTTTTCTCTTTGCTGCCTCTATCTCGTCCATTATGTGTTTAGATTCATGAGTAAATAAATATGTGAAGCATGTGGTAGGCAAGGCAAGGTAATATTAATTGGTAGGGGTCATAAGGAGATTGAACCTTATTCTTTAAAAGAAAGATATATATATTACCATTAAATCAAATACCCCAATGCATAGGAAATAAAATTATTGTATACAAATTTGACTTAATGATGATGATGATAAGATGGATAATTTGATTTCAAAACACAAATGCATGCATGTCATTTATAAAGTTGTGTTCAAAACCTCTCTTCTCAAAGAAAAATGAGATGGACTTAAGTATAGTCTTAATTCTTTGTTATTATCATTTCTCTACTTGTACCTGTATAGTAAAATGAAAGGACACCAAAACATATAACGTGATGAAGGAAATGAAAGACTACCGTTAGAAAAATGAGACAAATTGGAAGAGATTTTTAGCAGGATTAATCATAACAACACTGGCAAGCTGCGCATAGCAAATTGATATTGGGATGGTATATTGCTAATGAAAGCATGGTGGGGTGGCATGTGAAGCGGGTAGTTGTGTTGTTTTCAAAGCCTCAGGATCCAGTAATTAAGGGATGTAAGAAGGTTGCTGAACTCATTTATACGAAGCTTTACAACAATTATTAAAATTATCTCTTTATTAATACTATAGTTCTGACACCTATGGGGACTACGGGTAGTACAAAAAGACACCAAAATCTACACCCTACCACAAGATTTAGATCATTCCCTCAAATTTTATTCAGGTTGTTGATCATAAAGTTGAGGGCTTGAGGCATTATCATTAGATATATAGCTAAACTAACGAACAATGCAATAAAGCAGGTAATACATCATCTTGCTCAACCTTTTGAGCCTTCAGGCTTTAGCTTTACCACATAATTTTCTATCTATTGTTGTAACTTTGTTGGCATAGTTTGGATCGCAGAAAGCTTAAAAGTAAGACAGGTTAATACACCGATTCTATAAGAGCAATCAAAGTTGTTTACTAGATATATGTGGAGGATATTATTTAAGACCTTTGAGGCTACATTTAAATTAAAAGCTATTGCTTTATGTTAAAGTAGGGCTATATTAATGATAGTTGTTATTAGGACAGACAACAATTATTTTGGTTTGGTCTGACAACAGACAATAATCAAATGATCATCACACTGTACTTGATTAAAATTAATTTTGTTCCACAGTTAATTAATCCCTTGGCTTAAAGGCTCATATTTTGCTTTTCATTGTAGCATGAGGTTGTACATTCCAAATGACAACCTTGGAGCCACCATGAAAGAACTATTTCCAATGACAATATAACAAAAGCTGTCCAACATTCAGTCATGGATATCATTCCATGTCTCCGAGAGAAAAAAATCAATAAAAAGGAAAAGGAAAGCAAAGGGGCATAATTTTCTCTTTTCCTTTTGCGCGTATGCCGCTTTTACTATCAAAGCGTCCATGTTTTTGTGCTTTGTCTCCGAGGATAGATTTGAACATTCTTGAACATTCTCAAATGGATAAGTTATGTACTGTCCATATTCAGTACTATCCTGGCCCATAGGTAGAAAAATATTTCAAGCTCAAATTGGTTAATAATATTACTCCTGACATGAATCTTAATTTAAAATAGATACAATGTTTAGCATATGCCATTACCTTAAAGATACAGAGGTTCAAACTAGCTAGTAGCTCTGCAGTCTGCGATTAGAGTGGGAACCTCCTTTTTGGTCTTTAGGTATGAACTTCTTTTTGATTGTTTATTGGCCCAAGGTTTGCCAAGTCGGCACGTCGACACTCTTCACTGTGTTATCAAATATCAACTGGATGATCATTACGATGTCTAGCGCGCATGGAAGTTATCCTCATGCTATATCTTCACGTTGCAGTTGCGGTGCTCAAGGTTTGCTTCCTAAAAGAACATTCTAGTTTGTAACTTGTCAACAAGCATGAACATTTGCATGTGGCTTAAATTATTGCCAGCAGTGAAGATAATCTTCATTACTGAAGCTCAAGTCCTGATGAGAGCAGAAGTAGCTTCATTAAAATTCAATGGAGAATCATATCTTATGCTTGAGCTTTGCGAATCTGGACGCTAGCTGTACAGTTATAAGATATAGTAAATTCTTTAATATCCCATTTGGCTATGAATGCAGCGATGGCCTGAAAAGCAATCCATCAGATTATCTCTGCTTGTTGTGCTTTTCTGAGTCAAACAAAATTTAAGGGCATTGTTGATTGGTCAGCTAGGATTTTGGGCCAACTGTGTATGCAGTCATCATACTACATTTTGCACAGAATTTTGGTCAGAAATCCTGCATTTGACGGAATGATAGCATTTCAACTGTTTGTTGTCACCTTAATTCGTGTTTTGGCTCCCACTTTATCCATTAATACCTTGAATTATGCCTTGGATTGATTCGGTTAGACTAAGAGGAATCCAAGTTGGTACATATTCTGCATTTAGCATTAGATATATCCTTCTAGGTGGCATATCAGTTGGGATTTGCTTCAGCTTTAATACTGATTTTGATTCCATATTCCTGCTTGAAATATCCAATAAGATTTTCTGTTGGTAGAAGTTATGTGTTCCTTTGCATAATTTGCGGCACTCGAAAATCTCCACATTTCTTGTGGCTCTGCAGTTGCCTAAGGTAAGTGTAGGGGCAGATATTCTAATATATACTAGCTAACTTGTTGCTTTTCTTCTATTACTTGATTTCATGTCGAAAAAGTTAGGTTGATTACAAATAACTAAACAGAAAAGGTAAAATTGTCAAAAATGACTGATGAAAGCAACGGATTAAGTCTAAACGGTCTGCGTCCATTGAACCGATGCTGCATAATGGGACTTGTAAACAAATCCTCGGTATTAGCATGGACAATGCAGCGGTCCTGATAAGATTGATATGCCATCATAATTTGAACGAAAAGTAGAAGACATGACTCAATTGTCTAACCTTCTAGCGTACGTGATGAACTAGAGTCGCGATTTCATTCATGATTTGCTACCATGTACAGATCAAAGTGGCCTAATATTCTCACAAAGGACGACATTCCTCTGCACTAGTGTAAAGGTTTTAGCCCAGTCAACCAATTATCACTCCAACAAGTGCAGCGCACAATTATTGGTGCGTCTAAAACAATGCTGATCATCAAACATTTAAGTTAGGTTCATATCACTTTACAAATTTAATACATCCTGTTACTGATTTCAATGATTGCTACCTTTTTTTTTATTGTTTTATTTGAGAACAACCAAGGCACAGGAAATCTGCGCCACTGGGAATATATATATTTCAAAGCTTTTGCAAAATTTGGCAATGACTTTTGGCACATGGAGAGATGCCGTGGCTGCCTGGTGGTCGACCCAGCTACAGAAATTGCTTGCAGACGTTGAAGGAGCTAGCTAGCTTTGGCTTGACGTTGGAATCTGACTGTGGAGGACCACTTGAATTTTATCTTCCATAGTTGGCCTACCATTTTGAAATAATACCCACACTGATTTAGCTCTCTAGTGCCATATTCTTTGACATTTCATTGGTACTTTGGCGAATGTTTGGTGGCCACACCAACTTAAGCTTTGTCTTACAGTGAGCTTCCGCTTTCATGGAAGGCGCCTGTCTGAAGCAGCACAAATCACAGGGTCAGGAGTCCCGATGATGCCAACCTGCTGATGAGTCCTGCTGATGAGTTGCTAAAGAACTAGATTAATATTGTTAAAAGACCTCAACTTGTGTCTGAACCACTAATACACCATGAAATGCACCCGCCTCCCCTTCCTAATCATTCCGGGAGGAGAAGCCAAATAGTCCAAAACCCAAAATTTTGCCAGATCTTCTAGGTCACCAATATGATAAATTAGGTCGCTTTGAATAATTTGATGATTGGTACACTTTATTGTCGTCACCCGTTTGGTCTATGGGCAGCCCAAAAACAAGATAAATAAAATTTCCACCCTAAAGAACACAGCTTGAGCCTTGAGGGTGCGTTGGCAAAAATCGGGACTCTGGTGGATTTTCTTTGTTTTCTCATATCCTTTGATTGTTATTGGTTGCGTGGGAAACTTTTGGGCGGGGAAGGCGGCATAAAAAAAAAAAGTTAAGAACCAGAACCAGATGAAATCAATCAAGTTATCAACGGATGGATCAGTTGGATACCAAAAAGATTATGACCAGTTTTAGAGTTGTGTGCGCCAAATGGTGGGCACTTTTGTACTGTGTTGAGGGACAGGCTGCAAAAGCTCTGATAACTCTGCAAAAGTCGAAAGATTTTATGCGAATCTGAACGTAAGGTACAGCATCCTCGGCTTTTTGGCAATGTTTGAAGCATCGCCATGCTTTTGTCTTCAGATTTGCTATGATTTTAATTCGTTGTACTACCAGGACCCTGGTGCAGCAATGAGGGGCCAGAAAAGATCAATCTGCCCATCCATCCCAAACGCAAAAAAAAAAAAAAAAGTAAGAAAGAAAGAAATTTTATGTTTTTTTACTACCGAATAAGCAAACCAAATATCTGATGTAATAAACGGCAGGATTTGCTTCACCATCAAAGAGTATGGCGACTCTATATATCTTTGTGGGGATGGCACTCAGAGAGAGAATT